GGTATCACCCTTTTCCATCCATCCATCCATCCCTCCCTCCTCTTTTCCCTCGTGGTGCAGGATGTTGTCTCCAGCCTGCAGAGATGAAGTGCCTTGCTAGGAGATACCCAGAGGGACAAAGGAGGTTAAATATATTCCTGGTTGAAGGAAGTCTAAGTGAGGAACCTGCTCCATTCTTTGTCTTGTAATTGTGTCCTTACATCTGATAAAAGTAAACACAGAGGATTCCTGCCCATCTTCTGCTATTTCTTGTTTTACTTTCCCGTTTCCAGTGTTTGGAGGATGAGCTGGAGGAGCCCAAGGTGTTAGAGAAGGACACTCATGGTTCATGTCACTGCTGTTGGTTGTGCTGGTGCAGCTGAGCTGCTTCCAGTGTCACCTCAGAGAGAGTTTGATGCCTTCCAGCAGCTCAATGCTGAAGGAGTAAAGCACATTGTGTTCACCCATCTGCTGTTTAAACTCCTTTCTGGCTTTCCCTTGTGTTCCATGTTTAAATTCAGAATGCTCATCCTTCCTTCCAGGCCTTTCCCAATGTACATCCCACCCTCCCACTCTCAGATGATCTGGTTCCCCTTTCCCAGAGCTGTCGCAGTCCTGTGGTGCTGAGGAGCTCCAGAGCTGCCCCAAACTGCCCCAAACCAGGAGCTCTTGCTGCTGTGCTCCATCCCCAGGGGATGAAAAGCTCCTGAGCTGTGCCAGGTGTCTCTGAGGGTCCAACACCTGACATTCATAACTTCCATTCCACAGGGAAGGAAAACTGGGCAGCAAACCCAGACCTCAGTTAGAGACCAACCTTCTTCCTTGAAACTGCAGTGCACTGAGTGATGTTAAGGCAGCTTTTGTCAAGAAAACCCTGGTAAGGGAGTGTATTTACCTCAGGCATTTTCTTAGAATCGTGCTCAGACCCTGGAGCAACACAGGCAGCCACAGTTTGGGACCTTGTAGACACAGAAAACTCTCCAAACCCAATTCCTCTTGTGCTTTCCTTGTGCTGGGCATAAGCACATCTCAGGCTCTTTCTATATTAATGAGAAGAGGCAAGGAAGAAAGGTTGAATTTCCCAATAGCTGGATTATTCCAGAGCTGTTACAGGCAGCTTTCTGTAGCATTTGGTATAATTCAATAAGCATTTCACAGGCTAAAGTTTATCTTTAAAATCAAATAATCCATAAAACAAACCCCCAGACCCAACAAACCTGTTGTTTGTCCTGCCACAGTGAACAGGAACATTTGCATCTGACCCTCGTTGCAAATGGGTTCTATTCAAAATGGGACTTGTGGGTGGTGGTTTTGGTCTCTACCATGTGACATATGGACATGCAGTGGCCTTGTCTGGCAAGTGTTTGGCACAGACTTTCTCCTTTTTTGTGTTTCCTGAGTCGCTGACAGCTTCGTGTGGAAAGTGGGTGTTGGACACCCACAGGTGGAGGGAGAATTCTGAACCAAAAATTGCCTGAATGGTGAAATGTGTGTCATGATTTTTCCCTTCCCGGAGCTGAATCTGCTTAAAACTCAGCAGGATTAGGCAGAGCAGCCCCAACATCCCCAGTGCAGGCAAGCAGAACACTCAGCTGATTCCCTCCCTGATAACCACAATAAATTGAAAGCTTTTTCTTTAGAATTCCTTCCTTTTGTCTAAACCTGTTACGAACTAATTAATAGGCACAAGTTTCTGTTCCGTTGACTCAAGTGTGTCCATCCCAGAGACAGATTTCTCTTCATTCTAAAAACCAGAGGCACATCCTAAGTTCATCCTCATGCCCTGGTTCTGCAGCAGAATGACTGCACCACTAGCTGTTAATTGTGTTTTAATTCAAATGTGTTTGTCACTAGTGCTGAAAAAATCCAGGAGGTTGGTTTTAGTGTTGCTGGGAGCCACAGATAGTCCTGAACACATCTCAGGGTGATATTTAAGACAGAAGTGGGTCCTTACAAGCTGCTGGCTGTGCTTGTAGGATGTAAGAATGCATTTCCTAGTGGTTTTTCTCTCCTCTGCCATACTGTGATGAGGTCAGAGGTCTTGGCAGATGAAGCACAGGTGATCAAACTGCCAGGCTGAGCCCTGGGTGAAGGCAGTGCTTTATAAATGATGGTCACCTGAAGTTTTTATTCAAGGCACTTCCTTAACTACATTTCCCACCAAGATCCTGGCTCCCAAATCTTTATTCCCTCCTTGCCTAAAGCAGAGAGATGGAGTTTGCCTCCTCAGCATAACCCAGAGAGCAGGAACTGCAGTTCATCTTAGTCTGTGCTCTGATATCATCTTGCTTTTTTTTTCCCTTTTCTCTGAAAGGTCAAATGTTTTTGCTGACGTTAACTGTGTTATGAGGTCAAACAAATGAATGCTCATGAAATGCTTTTGCAGAAAGCTGTGTGCAGCAGATAATTCTCTGTGTGTTCATCTCTCTGTCAGATAAATGCAGCTGTAGGATTTCCTGCTTTACTCATTGTTCTGGGGCAGTGATGCTTGGCAGGCCTGGACAGAGGGGTCAGCAAACTCCAAATTAAGGGCTTGCTGGTGTGTTGTTCTGCTTGGGATTCATTTATGTCTCCAGTGGGCTTGGGAGGGCCTGTGGGTTCTCCAGTTGATCAGGAAAGGAAAGTTTGGCATGACAGTATAGGAGGGAAGAGGTAAAACTCTGTGTATTTAGTGATCCATGGTGAAGTAAAGGAGAGATTGCACCATTTCATTACAGCTCAGTCAGGTCTGAGGTTTAGGCTCAGTCTGGTTTCTCACTCAGGAATCAGGTGAAGTGGTTGCCAGCCCTTGCTTGTGCTTTGCTCCAGATGGTCTGTCCCTGGAATCCGCGTGTCCCAGACAGGGCTCGGTGCTGTGCCTTGGGATCCGATTGCATTTGGCCCCAGAAGGAGCACACTTAGTCTCCTGCTTCCGTGCACTTGGAGGCTCCCAGATTCCAGGTTCTGAGCTCCATCAGGGCTGGGATGTAACACAGCAGCTGCTGAATCAGGGGCTTGGAATTTGGGGATGGTTCTGTTGCCTTGTGACTGTAAAGGTTGGCCCTTGGTTAGTTCAGGAAGGCTGGGAGGTGTTGCTTTTACTCCCACCTAATCAGCAGAAAATAAGGAAGGATTCTGCCTTGTTTTACATCTGGTTTCTGCCCCGTTGCAAATTTAGGGTGCAGTCCTCAAAGTGCTCCTCACCTTGGAGGGGAACTCAATGCTCTGATGTAAAGCTGACTCAGTTTTGACAAAATCCTGGTGCCTGTGGAGGACTGGGGTAGATACAGGTGAGGACTGTCTGATTGCTGATTAGAGCCAAAGGCAAATCCTGCTGAAATCCAGAGGTGCAGCTGTGGAGCAAACAGTGCCCAGGGAGCCTGCTTGGCAAGTGGGCAGATCAATTCATGGCAAGACCCCCTTTTGAGGGAGTTTAGCTTCTGACAGGCTGGGAAGTGAACCCTTCTGTGTCAGGATGAGCCCTGCAAAGCTGGGGCTGTAACTTTAATTGGAAAAGGTTAATCTGATTAGTTGGTGTTTGCAAAGAGCTTTAAGAATGAAAACTGCTGTGGAAGTGCTGACTGCTATGATCAGGATAGATATGATCTATCAGCAGTTTCATGGATGAGTAAGACTCTTTTTTTTTCCCATTTGACTGTGAGGGAGCTGCCTCCTGGAGAGCAGAAGAAAAATATTTAGGAAAACGAGGTAAAAACGGGTGTCCTGTTGTCATACTGGTGTCCCCCCCCCCCCCCCCCGATGAGCAGTTGGTTCAGTGGGTCACACTTCCAGAAGCAACTTAAATACTTTGAATCTACTTTTCCAACCTTGGGAGAAGTGTTGAAGATGGGGGTTTCCATAAACACCACTTTGGTACCCGAGTGCTTTGTCCACTTCAGGAATTGCCATTGCAGGTCAAGTGGAGGGGGGTTATTTCTTGGTGTTCTCATTTTGGGGGCGGGTGGTGGTGGTAGGGGAGTAGTTGGTGTTGTTCCAGTGTTTGATGGACAAAGTGCAGGCTCAGAAACTGAGCAGAATCACATGTTTTATGGAAAGGGAAATCCTCCTGGGAGGAACAGGCAGAGTTCATGATTAATTTGTAGCAGTGCATGCACGCCATGGATCAGGGAAAGGGCCCTTCTTCCTTTAGGCTTCTTCCATCCTCAGAAGAAACATTTGTAGTTTATAGGTGTGGGATCTGAAAAAGGGATTTCTGCCCACACAGAGAGACCCAGCCTTGAGCTGCCTTGCAGGTGCTGTCAGATGATGTTGCACTGTAAAATGGTGTTTCCATCCTGAATAGGGTTTTTAACTGTCTCTTGCTATCAGGAATAGTCTTCAGAGGCTGTGCCTTGCTTTGGCTGCTGTCAGATGTTCAGATAAAAAAAATAAAGTACTAGAGTGCAGTTTATAGAGTGGCTTCAACCTTCAGAGCTTTCAGGGAGTTATGAAGGAGAGTGGAATGCAGGAATCCTCCATTTCCCATGTGGAAACTAGGGCAGAATGGAGAGAAAAACTGGTTTGGTGACTCGTGTGCTTACCTGATGGCTGAGAAAACCCAGGTCCAGCTCCCAGTTTTCCCGTGGGCTTCTGGGGTGTCCTGTCAGTGAGTGACCCAGGACAGGAGCTGGCAGGGCTGACTCTGGTCCCCACTTTTCCTCTGGCTTTGTCAGGAGCTGGGCCTTGACATGTGCAGTTCCCCAGAGGTCTTCGGGAGACCAGACTTGATGAAAGTCATCTCAGCACCTCTGTAGTCATTTCCAAAGCCATTAAGTGCTGGAAGAGTGACTGGAGATTGCAGTGCTGGAGCGACAGGGAGATGGCAGATAATGGCAGCAGGGAGAGGTGAGGGCAGTCAGCGAGTCACTGCTGAGCTGTGAATAAATATCTGTGCTCCTGATCTAATCCACAGACATCACTCCTGTCTCCTGACTGCTCTGCCTCTTCCCTGCCCTGGATCAAACCCTGAACCATCCCGTGGGCTGGGAGACCGTTGTCACCTCGGTGAGCTGAGCGCGGTGTCTCTTGTTTTCCGAGCGCAGGTTTGTGTGAAGTCCCCTCTCCTGTGCCCGAGTCTGTTCCTCTGAAGCGTCACCAGCGTGTGGAGCCCGCCCCACACACCCATCCCCTGCCAAACCACGGCCTTTACCTGCGTGTTCCGGTGTTTCCCGTGCGACCCGTCCTGCGGGAGTGCCTCCTGGGCCGCCCCAGAGTTCCCCCAGCGCTCCGTGGCTCCAATGGTGAAGATGACAAGGTCCAAGACTTTCCAGGCGTATCTGCCTTCGTGCCACAGGACCTACAGCTGCATCCACTGCCGGGCTCATCTGGCCAACCACGATGAGCTCATTTCCAAGGTATGTTCCCGACCTCGCCCGGGCGGCGGAAGGTGCGTCGGCTCACGCTCTGGGTCACCTGCCATGGAAGGGCCTGGCCTTACCCAGCGCCTCCATTTTCACTTGGAAAGTGGGCCCTCAGCCCAAAGGATCTGTTTGTGAGCTGCTGTTCTTGTTTTAAGTGATTGTGGTCCTCAGCATCCTCGTGAGGGGCGGGTGCTGATCTCTTCACCCTGTGACTGTGACAGGACCCGTGGGAACGGCTGGAGCTGAGTCAGGGAGGTTTGGGTTGGATATCAGGAAAAGGCTTTTCACCCAGAGAGTGGTTGGGCACTGGAACAGGCTCCCACAGGGCAGTCAGCAGTCACAGCACCAAACCTGTCTGAGTTCAAGAAGTGTTTGGACAACACTCTCAGGCACATAGTGGGAATCTTGGGGTGTTCTGTGCAGGGGCAGGAGTTGGACTCTGATCCTGATGGGTCCCTCCCAGCATATTCTATGATGCTATGACCTTGAAAACAGTAGTGGAGACAGGATTCCAAATCCAGCCCTCTGGAGTGCTTACAGGTGGTCTGACCCTTCCTGTGAGCCTCCTCCCTCTCATTTCCAGCTGGGAAACCTCCCCGATGGTCAGGACTGTGGAAGTCACCTTCCCAGTGCTTGCTGTTCATGTCCCACCAGCAGAGCCAAGGGGTTGTTGCATGGTTGTGATTTGGAGGAGAAGTGTCTGGAGAAGTTGTCTCTGTTAAACTCAGAGCTGCACCAAGAGACAAGACTAAGGGCCCTACTCAAGGGAAGGTGCTCTGATGCCTCTGTCAAAATGTGGGGTGGGTTCCAAAGACTCCTGAGTTGGTCCTCAAACACCCATATTTTTGGCACTCTATTACCAGGACACTTTGCAGTGAAAAAGCAGGGATGGGTGGTGGGCTGTGCTCTGAGCTGGGGAGGGTGCAAAGGTTCTGTCCTGTGTTCTCATCTGTTGAGCAGAAGGTGAAGGGTCTCGAGGATAAGGTAAATTAGAAGCTTTCAGAGCCAATAAATCAAGGGCCTTTGATGCAGAGGGAGCAGGGCAGTAAGAGGATCTCGTTCTGAAGTGTGAAAACTAAACTTCCTCAGAGTGTGTGTTGGAGCCTGCAGTGCCTGGCTGTGGTCAGGCCTCGAGCTTCCAGGATTCGGCTGCCTTGGAATAACTGTTCCGTAAAGTTTATTCAGCTTACAAAATCTGTGTTCAGAAAAAACAGACACAGCAGAAAGATTTATGAGCTGAGGTGACTGGAAATTGGTGCTGTGTCTGCAACTTAAACGGCTCAGCTTCCTGGAGCAGCCTTGGGAGGAAGGCTGGGATCACCAGAGGTGCTGTGTCCATTGGGAAAGTGTGCAGTGCTTCCCCTCTTCCTGCTGGCACAGAATAGATTGCAAGGTGTCACCTTGCACTGAGGGCATCTGTCCTTGCAGGGTTGGCACCAGCAGCCGTGGAGATCCTGCTGGATTTCCGTGGTGGGAGCTCAGACCTGTCACCTCCCGTCAGAGTCTGTCTCCTTCCTTTTTTTCTCCTGGCTGTTGTGTGGGCCAGGTTGATGTGTTACCTCTGTGGTGTTGTCTCCATGCCAGAAACTGGAATTTAAATATTCTGGGATGAATAATGCTGATGGCAGACTGCTCAGGTTTGGGGTTGTGCAGTTTCTGAGCAGACAGGATTCCCATTAGGATGTTACTCTGGAGCTCCTCCTGTCCTGGTACAACTGCAGTGGTTCTCAGAGCTGTCCTTGAGGGACTGCAAAGCCTTCAAAGAGGAGGAGGTTGTGCATTTCCTCAACAGAAAGGAGTTTTGAAATGTAAATGTAAATTTTGAAATGTAACCGCAGTCTGTGCCCTGGGGGGGAAATACCTTCAGCCTTTTGGGGCAGCTCAGTGACTTCAGGCTCCTGTGGTGACTTCAGGCTCCTGTGCTCGGTGAGATGGGGCAGGAAAACAGGGCAGTGACTCCCCTGCCTGTTCCCTGGGAGAGCTGATCCCCTGGGTTTTGTGTTGGGACACAGAAGGTGCTTCGCTGGATGAAGAAGGAGCTTGTTTTCCTTGCTGCTTTTGCAGCACATTTGAGTTTGTGCTCTGCTTTTTTCTCTCGAGGTGGCTGGTCCCCAGCCAGGAAAAACACAAGGCTGTGCATTCCCAGTGCTTTCACCTTCGGTGTTTCCTTCCCCTCCTTGTTCCATGTCCGTGCTCCAGTGCAGCCAGCTTTGCAGGCTAAGGAGCTTCCAGCAGGGCAATGCCAGTGCTGCCAACTGCTTGGAATTTTAGCTTCTGTCCTGCAGAAACTGCCCAGGAATGCTGACTGCTAAAATACAGACACGAGGGAAAGTAGGAAAACACAATATAAGGCTGTGTGTGAATTGTGGAGGTGTTAACTCCAGTGAGCTGTGGGATCTGCTCATTCTAAAAGTTCATTTAGACTGAGGTGTAAACTAATACTTGGGACCACAGTGCTGGTGGAGCACTAGCAAAGAGTTTGGAGGTTGAGGATTTATTTCTCAGGGTTGTAAACATTAATAAGGTACATCTTTGTATAATTGAAAACCTTATGAAAGTAATTGTGCTGCAACCATGATTTGTACAAGTGGCTGTTCAACAGAACAGTCCCTGCCTCGGGGGGGTTGGGGGGGGGGCTTCCAAAATGTGTAGAAACTTTCCCAGGCAAACTTAAATAGTCGGTGTTTGATCTGTTTGAGTTGGAAACATCTCCCCGAGGCCTTGTGCAGTTCTTTCATCACAGCCTTGTGGCAGCATCGAGAACCAGGCTGTGCAGTTGTCGTGCTTGTTTTCCATAAGAAAATGTGGCAAACGGAAGGAAGGAACAAGCGCCGTGGGGATGGAAAAGGGAGTGGGAGACTCTGCAAACTGGAGTGTTTCTCAGCCTGTGGTGTATCTCATCCTAAAGCTGACTGTCACTTGAATCAAAACAGCCCAAATGACACCATCCTTGGAAACATTCCCCAGAAAACAGGCTTTTATGTAACAGCAGGGTGGTGGGGGTTTGGCTCCGTGGAATTAATTCCTCTGTTCCTTTTGCCCCAAGTTGTGCAGAGCCCACAGGAGAGCTGGGCTGCTCTGCCTGCTCTCAGCTTTCAGCTCCTCTGCATACACACAGGTTGCAGCCCTGGCTCATGCCCTTGGCTGAAACACAAGCTGGAGCTGAATCCCAGTATTGTTCTGTGTCAATCCATACTTTATTTCCTCTCCATCTCCCGAGTTTCCCCTCTTAGCCCTTCAGCACCAGTGTTAATTTACTGTAGCTTCAAAGTCACAGCCCTGGGTATCTGAAACTCTTTGACAAATATGCCTTGGCAGGGCAGTTTTTGCTTTCTTTTCTACCTAAGGAAAACCTTGTGCCTTGAAAGGGGTAGAAGGTTCCTCAATAAGCCATTGCTATTTAAAGAAAATAATCAATGCTGAGGCTTTTAAGAAAATCCAAAGCTGTTACACGAAGCCCAGCTACCAAAATGTTTCTTACTTGGCCTTTTATCTTCTGCAGCCCCAGGGAGAAAGTGGTTTAGTGGGTCTGATTTGTAACAAGATCTAAATTGTGGGTTGGACCGTCTGGCCAAGAAAGGCCTTATTGACTCAGGAAATAGGAAGGTGATCAGATAGATTGGGTGGAGCTGAGTAACTACTTTTCCTTTGGTGTCTGGGCTAGCATGACTGGAGGTTCTTGTTCCCTTGCAGCAATGCATCATTTAAAAGGCTGTGCCAAATTTAGCACATGCTCTTGTTTCACTGATTTTTCCAATGCCTGAGTGGACTGAGACTTCAGGAACTCAACAGATTCCTGTGTGACCTCGAGTAAGTCACTGGGTATCTTTGTTCCTCCTCTCCCCACCTGTGCAGTTGGAATGCTGCTGTTTTGTCCAGTCTGCTTGGAAGATAAAGCTCTGGAGCAGGTCCTGTCTGCTCTTCCAGGTTGGTACAGTGTGTCCCAATCCTCCTCCGTGGATTTGCTGTAAAAACAAAGATACTGTGCCAGGGGACTGTACTTAAAAAGCACATTTCAGTGTCTTCCAAATTGCCAAAAATTAAGTGAAAGGTACTTCTTGTTACATCTGTCCTTCCCAGGCACAACATCCCATGGCTTGGAGAATGTTTAAGAAAAATATAAATTCCACAATCAATGGTGGCAAAACCTCTCCAGGAAGGAGACAGAGTGGCTTTTCTTGAGAAATGTGCCTTCTGCATCGTTTTCTCGTGGGGCCTGGAGGAACAGTTAACAAAACAGACATTCAGCAAGGCAAAGAGCACCTTTTCCTTCCCAAAATGGCAGATGAGATGCTGATTCCTGCTGATTCTGTGTTACTCCAACTTTGTCAGCCCTTTTTCTGTGTAATTGGTGCCCAGTAAAAAAAAGGATGGGAACAAGAGCAGAAAGATGCAAAGGCCAGAATTGCCACATCAGTGTCTTGGTTGCTGATTTTCTCTTGCCATGTGAACAGTAATTCAGCAGAAACGTCCCTGCTCATGGAAATATGTGGAGAATGTCTTGTGGGCGTCCTGCAGTTTCTTTTTTTTCCCTGCCTTTCTGTGATCCAACTGCTAAACATTATGCAGTGATGTATCTTCTGAAGTTGCCTAAAGGCTTGTGAGGAGGTTTAGTGTTTCCCTTTGATGTCTGCGTGGAGCCTCTGCTGAACAGGAATGTGCAATTCCTCAACACAAAGGGCTGCAGCTCCTGCAGCACTGAGAATTTAGGGAAAATACAGGACTCCTGTGTGCCTGACTTTCTCAGATGGGGTTGGGTTGTTCATGAGGGAGCACTTAGAAGGTCTTTTTGATCTTCTCAGTCAGGAGTTGAAAGGTTTATCAGCAAAACTCACTCCCAGTTGTTGTGGCCTGGTTCCTTCCCAGCCTGCAGGCTGCTGGAGCCTCCAACAGCCCCTCAGTGAGACTTAGGGCACTCTGAAAACATCACACTTTGCTCCATGTTGCAACTGGGGGATCTTTAAAAGGATCTGAAGCTTTGGTGCAACATCCAG